CGCGTAGAGCAGTTGCTGTTTCACCAGTACCTCGTGTGCCGGGGGGCTATTGCGAGGGTGTGAGTCGACAGGAGGGATACACAATACTAGGGGCAAGCGCATGCTTCTTTTCCCCAGGGGGGTGAAGGGGAATTTTTGCATCTCTTGCACATCATGCTCGTACAAGCAAGAACATGAACATCTGTGCTAATTGTTTAAAATAACAATTTTTACGTATGCATGAGGTCATTTTTTTAAACTCTTAGAATTCAGCTGCCTTATCTGTGGTTGATTTTTTTTTTTTTTCCTCCCCAAGTGCAATAGCAAATATGTTTGCAAAATACTCTAGCTTAAGTGTAGAAGTGAGGATTTATTCTTTTTCTTGCCATTTACCATTTAACCAATTTTACCATCTAATTCCAAGTTCGAATAGAAAACCAGGAGCAGGTATTTTGGCAATTTTACCACTGCAAAAAAGGCAAACTGCACAGGGAAGACTGGTCAAACTGTGTGAGCAAATAAAAATGCAGCAGACCTGCAGTGGTTCAGTGTCTGCACGTGATTTTTATGAAACTAGGCATGGGGAAACGACATCCTGGATCTGGTCATTTTGCCAAATTTTATTAAAGCACTCTGAGGGATGGAAGCTTTGTTTCGCTGTCTTTCAGAAGAACGTTGAAATTGGAAAGGGTTTTCATGTGTTGAACTAGAGTGGCTGCTATTTAAACATTCAACACCGTTTGCCAGCCTGCCGTATGTTCCAAAACAGGAATCGCTGCGGTTACTGTAAATGCATGCTTAGGGGATTTTTTTGTTTCCAAAAAAATGTTTCTTACAGTACTTTTTTTCTCAGTGCAGGTGTCCCATATTGAACATGTGACCATAAGTCCCTTTTGGAGTAGCTAATTCAAACAATATTTAAGTTGTAGGAGCATAAGCTTGTAAAATGTTGTCTCTGATTGGTGACGCTCTGCAGATTATCAGAAAAATTACAGGCGTCAGGCATGTGTGAGAGGAGCAGGACTAGCTGCAGATTGAAGTCGGATTATCCCAGAAGCCTAAAATCAGTCTCTGACCGCATTGTAACTGTGGATAGAACTTGTTTCTATCTATCTGCAACACATACGTAAACCTGTAGGAAATGTGTAGTTGACTTGCTGCTTAAATGCGTAAAAAACAGTAACATTTTGTATTATTAGTTGAAGGCTCAGGTTTGGGTTGAGAAGACTGAACTAATGTTAGCTGTGTGGCTCTTGGATTGTTCCTTCTTAAAGATGTCACTGCAGGATACAGCAATGGTTAGCCAGCTCTGTAATAAACTTCATCTTTTGCTACAAAGATAAAAATACATCTGGATTTCCAGAGATACTGAGTATTCTCTGCTTTTGACAGAGTTAAAGCGTGGTATTAAAATCCCTTTGAATTTTGTTTTAAAGGAATATATGGAAAGATCCCTGTCTATAAAATTGGCTCCATTGTGTCCTGATAACCTTTGTATCTTCTCTTCCCTAGGGAAAGGTTAGAAGTTGGATGTTGCCAGCTGGCCCAGCTGGAACACACTATTAAGCAGTGTCACGCATCGGTTCACAGGGAAGCCAAGAACAGGGGCTGGCTGTGACACATGGGTCAAGGTTTGGAGCTGAGGTGCTCACCCCCTGCGTTTTCCTGTCCAACAACTCCTCTGGTGTGTGTGAGGGAAATATTCGAGGAACCAAACATCTGCCGCCTTTTTTCTCGATGGTGCTGTTTTGTATTTGAGTTGAAGGAAAAAACCAGCTAGTTACATATGTACATTAAATGTCAGAATTTCTGCTAAGAATCGCAAGCTAATAGAATTTTCTGTCTCAAGCGAGGGGCTCTGACTTGATACAGCTGGTTTGGTATACAGCAGATGTGCTGGGCTGCTCTTCTAAATTCCAAATGTTCGTGTTAGGACCTAGGTCTGTTAATGGCTCACACGGATTTTTCCTGTAAAGGCATTTGTTTTGCTGATACTTGAGAAGTGACAAGGGAGAAAAAAGAATATATGTGATAGCTGGGGGTCTGAAAGGACTGAGAGGAAAGCAGCCGAAGAGAAAGCCAGATACCCGTGATGCTTGCTGCCCTTACCGATATGAAGGACTAGAACACGGATGCAATGTATGCATCCTATGTAGTGAACTATAAGCCTTAGGAGAGGACATAGAACGGGGAAAGAAAGGGATTGATGCTTTTTTTTTAAAAAAAAAAAACAAAACAAAAAACCCACCCTCATGCAGGTGTGTTTGTCCTGGACCTCTCTTCAGAGGAAAGGGATGGTTTTTGTTTGTTAAAATATCTACTTAATCTTCATACATCTGAAACCTGCTGGCAACACTCTTTTGGAAAACTCCTCATCCTTCTCTTTTGCCACCTTCTTTTGCAAAGGCATGAGTGGTTTTTCCCTCCGGGGGTTATACTCCGTGACTCGCCTTGGCTCGGCTCCCCAGGTGACATCTCTATCTGAAGGTACTGGCGGTTGCTTTCCAAAACTGCTTTAAGTCTGTGAAACTTTCTAAAAGCCATTTTCAATGCTGCTGTGGCCTTGAAAGCTACCTCTTCTATGTATGTATTTGTACAGAGATAAGATGACTGGCAAAGTTCTAGAAGTGTTTATTTTGATATTAACTTTTGGACGCATTTGTAAAATCTTTATTGTAAAAATTAATTTATTGTTATACTAAATGGCAGTTAATTCTACATGGCAGTTTCTTTGAATGGCTCTATTTTCACTTTGCCCAATTACTGTGGCTGCAAGTCTGATGCCGCTCTTGCCCCAAGACACTTGAAAGTGGGAGAGAAGTGGGTTGGTAGAGTTACTGTTGGAGCAAAATTCATTTTAAGGGATATTTCCATTCAAGTTGTAATCCCACAACTGTGGGATAAGTATGTTATGCTCAAATAAGCTTATGTTGGTGATTCGTATCATCAATCTAGGAAGCTAGATCAACTTAAGGACATGATGTCTGTCTGTCTTAGCTCGCATCTACTTTTGATCCACTTCAGGGGAAGACAGCTGACACAGATTAAGACAGCTACTTTCTATTTTCTCATACTGCCTCTCCCTGTTCAGATGCACCCAGCCTTACAGCTTGGAATAATCACTACATTTCTTTGGTCTGATGTTTTCCTCCTCCAGTATGTAGGCGTAGGGGTCTGCTCATGCCCCACTTCAGCAGGACTGCCTTGTGTTATGTGGCGTGCAAGAAGCTGCAGCAGAGGTCTGTTACTGGTGGTGGGATCGGACAGCTGTAGCCTGGTAAGACCTCAATCAAAGCAGTAAACTAAGACTGTGATGGTGACTGAAACTAGTGCCATCACTGGTGGCTTAATTTCCTAAAGCTACTTGATTAATGCTGAGTTACAGAGCTGAATGAGCAGATCAACTCTCCTACAACAGTATTGGGTGTTTCTTTTCACCACAGGGTTACACACTTTGTTCATCAAGTTCACTTGGCCCCTTTTTCATCTCACCACACCTATTCCTGGAGGGTAACCAACACACACATGGCAGGCAGGAGGGGTACATGGCATTTCACCCCCCCCATTTCTACTCGGCCCAAACTTGAGCTGGAGGCGGTTAAATATCCTACTTTGTCTTGAACCTACATACATTTGAAATGTCTATTTTAATGTCGTAAACTGTCTCATTAAAGAAAAGGATGCAAAGACACTTCACAGCAATCCTGTGGTGCAAGGATTTCCCAAAAGGTACCTTTAATGTGTTTGCATCAGCAGCAAGCAGTCAGTGCTCATTTTGGCACCAGGAGTTAGGTGTGTAGCACTACACGTTAGACACCAAGTCATCCTAACCAACATTTTATCCATATGAACAGAGAAAGTGAACTAAAACATAGTACTATGAGCACATATGAAATCAAGTTATTGGTGTTCTATCACACTTTCAGCTTGTAATATTAGAAAAATAAACTTAGGACAGTCACTAATCAGATGAATACATTTTCATTGTCAACTGGAAAGAGTTTAAAAACCATGAGAAAAACCCCACACGTAAGTTTTTGTTTTACAAACGTTAGCTCACCCATAGTAACAAAACTGCTGTACAGAAAGCACCCTCTGCATTTTTGTCAAAATATTTGGAGCCAAAATAATCTTTCCATCCTAGAAAGTCACAGCTATGTTACGTTCAGAAACTCCACTCAGCTCTACCAAACGTGTTGCATACGAAGTTACAATGTTGTAGCAGAGGCAAAAGCTCAGAAGCTCACGTACAGTGGCAAGTCAGTCAGTTCTCCCACTCGGTCTCTATGAACTCCAAGGTTGTCTCTTTGCTTCAATAACCATTTATCTGCCATTTTCATGTCAACAGATAAAATACTCTGCTGAGTATATAAAAACTGTTATAAAAAGGCAATCATAAAAGATAAGGTATTGGCAGGCGTGTCAGCTTTTTTAATAAAAAAAATAGCCATTATATCTATTTAAATAAGGCTTCTTGTTACAGATTGTTCCAGTTACTGAAGGAAAACAAGGCCTGATGAAAAAAAACTATCCCCCGTAAACCTTACACTTCCTGCCCCAAGAACACATCCTACAGGAAAAGTCATTTTATGTGCAAAGTGACAAAACAAACACTGGGGGAAGCTCCTGAAATGATATGCCCAAGTCTAGTTTCTCTTGCGTTATCTTCAAAATCTTAAAAAAAAACCCAAAAAACAAAACCCAAACCTAAAACAAGTTCTAAAATACACAAAAAAGCCTTCATCTTGATATTCTTTCCAAAACAAATATGTACAGCACATTAATATGCAATATGCAAAAAAGCTCAGAAGCTCACGTACAGTGGCAAGTCAGTCAGTTCTCCCACTCGGTCTCTATGAACTCCAAGGTTGTCTCTTTGCTTCAATAACCATTTATCTGCCATTTTCATGTCAACAGATAAAATACTCTGCTGAGTATATAAAAACTGTTATAAAAAGGCACACATAAAAGATAAGGTATTGGCAGGCGTGTCAGCTTTTTTAAAAAAAAAAACCCAAAAAACAAAACCCAAACCTAAAACAAGTTCTAAAATACACAAAAAAGCCTTCATCTTGATATTCTTTCCAAAACAAATATGTACAGCACATTAATATGCAATATGCAAAAGCTCTGTGTTGCTGTTGGCAACATCTATGCCCTCCCCAACCCTATTCACATGTGTACCTCTACTAAAACACAATTACATCACTAAGCCTGTTAGTTTGAAAAGGGAGTTTAATTCACTTAAAACTTGTAAATTTTTGTGTAGGGGCTCCATTCGTTTGACTCTGGATTGTAGACTTCAACCGTGTTCAAGAATTCATTGCCATCAAATCCCCCAACCGCGTAAATAGTGTTTGCTACTGTCGTAATGCCAGCATTGCTCCTCGGAGTAGTCATGCTTCCCATCATCTTCCACTCGTTCTTAGCAGGGTCATACATCTCCACACAGCTCACCGCGTGAGAGCCATCAAAGCCGCCACCAACAAAGAGTTTTCCTATCAATCAAAAGGAAGCAAAGCAAATGTTTCACTGCTAAGCACCAGCTATGTTGCCAAACACAGCCTCCTTTCCAGGGAGACAAACTTGGCCAAAGTGAAGGAACTTCAGGTTTTCTGTCAGAAATCTTTGCCTTATTCAAGGTTTGAAGTTACAGTACTGACCTGCTATGGGTCTCTTGATCGTTAGAGCTGACTGGAAATTACTTCAGAATAAGCACAAAGTCCAAATTCAAACAAATGCAGTTCTGGAAGCTCCATGGTGATGTTTTGTAAAGAGGTGGGGACGAATGCCCCAGAACAACAAGAAGTTTTTTGGGTTTACTGGTTACAGTTTTTAATTAAAATTGGAGGCATAGCCAGGTTCTTACTGTATTGTTTTCCTCCCTGAGAAGGAACCCAGCTTTGTATTCTACTTACATCATAGCTTAACATGAAAAATTCATCAAGCACAAGAGGTTGCTTAAGCCTGCGAAAGCCTACCATCATGAACAGCCACTCCGGCTCCTCGTCGAGCCACGTTCATGGGCGCAATCAGGGTCCAAGTGTTGTTCTCTGGATTGTAACGCTCCACGCTGTTCAGGCAGTTCCATGATTCTGCTCCTCCAATTATGTATAAATACCCAGCCAGCTCACACACTGCAGACTGATGTCTCCCTACAATCAAACACTAGGAGTTACAGCCCAGTGCAGGTTAGTTACACACTAACAATATGCCATAGTGGCTGAAATTTAAATGTTTTTTTTTGTTTGGTTTTAATCCTGCAGTTTTGCAATCGCCCTTTTCCCCCTCCCTCCCAAACTACACAGCAAACTTACGGATATTAAGGGGAGCACAGCTTGTCCAAGATTTTGTTACAGGATCAAACACATCACAGTTCTTAAGTCCCTTTTGGCCATAAGGATCTGAACCACCAACAATGTACAGTTTTCCATTTAGGGCACATACTCCTATTCATATAGGAAAGAACAGTAAGTAAGCTAATAAATGAATAAATTTTAAAAAAACCCAACAGTCAATCAACTGCAGATGTGTTACCTGCATTGCAGCGATTGGTTCTCAGTTCTGGAACAGGAGTCCAGTCATCTATTTCTGGCTCATACATTTCTCCACAGCTCAAGTCATCCGAGTGACCGTTTGACCCACCCACAACATACAGCTGCCCCTAAATGGAAAAAATAAATACCTTCTTCACATCTAAGTACACAACAATTCGAATCCTGAGCACTTTTGTAATGTTGTAACTACAGTTAAGCAACTTCTGTTACCATTTTGTAAAGTTTGCTGTGTTTGTCCCACCTACATTTACATAACGTCACTTTCATCTGCTCTGCACCCACCACACACCATTAAAACTGCCATCTGGAACCGAGCTCTTGGTGTTCTCATCGGTGCAATGAAAGTCCAAGTGTCCTTTTGCGGGTCATAGCATTCCACTGTGCGCAAACACTCCTCTCTGTTATATCCACCTAAAAGCAAGAGGTCAGATGATACCACATTTCCAAAGACAACAGCTTTGATGTTGACAAACACTAACTAATAGAGTGTACAGAGTTAAGAAGCCACTGTCATGTCCCCCCCCTTAAGCAAGCAAGTTTAAAGAATTGTTACTATTTCCTTTACCTGCAGCAATTAGTTTGCCGTTAAGCTCAGCTGTGCCCAGTCCAGACCGAGCATACTGCATTGGAGACATGGGCTTCTCTATGATATCATTTGGTTGAAGCTCAAAACTCAGACTCTTCACCAGTCGTGGCGTGCTCGTGGGAGAGCTCTGAGGGCTGTTACGGCCATGCAGGAATATCACGCACAGCACACCATCCAGAACAGCAAGACACAGGTAGGTGTTACCTGTTGTCAGGAGAAAAGGAGAGACCACTGATACAATATTTTAGATGAATGTCAACTAGGGTCTTCTGATTAGGCTTCTCCACTTACAAGTGTGAAAAATATTTTTTCTGGTTACTGGCTCCAAGTGTTAGCCTAGTTACTGAAAAATATGACTTTTAGATTATTAATATAGTGCTCAAAGGACGTAAGACAGCAATCTAAAGATGTGCTAGGAAACAGTGTCCTCGCATGCACACAGCAAATAGCTCTGTTTAATTAATCAGAGACTGCCTCCTTAGGACTTTCTGGGTAAATTATACACACCATGGGATTTGGGATGGCCCTGTCAATAAGGAATCAAGATGTAAGTGATTTGGCCCCAGTTATGTTAGAAACATCCCACAAATTACTGGGCAAATTACTTGACTTGCATCATCAGTAAGAAAAAGCACTTCTGCATTTCTTACAGAAGTTGAAGGAAATCCCCAGGGAGTGAGAGGTGGTAGGTACATCAGACCAGATGCATCTTTTAGACAAACCCTGCCCCAGTTACTCACTTGAAGTTTTCTCTGAAGCAATGATTTTCCACTCGTGTTTAGGACTCTGAATGGTAGCATTTGGAGAAAGGCTTCCAGAGGAGCTGCTAATAATCTGCTTGTGATCATTCTCACGTGGTGGCTTCCTCTGCAAAATCAAAAGGCAGCTACAGAAACCTAGCCAGAGACTACACCACCTTCTACCTTTGCTTCTCTGAGCTAATACATAACTATTCAAGAGAACACTTCATCTACCACCTCCACAGAGCATCATTTATAGCACACCTAAGTTTTCAACAGAACATCTTGCCTACTCAGCAACAGTAGCCAAAAAACACCCTACATCTTATCTTGGTACCCGTTTCATCCTGTGCCTGCACCTTTATACTGCTGGTGTCTAACTAGAAATCAGTTCAAATTCCTAGAAGAGAGTATGCGTTACTAGCAGGATTTTCAAATCTAAGGAAAAACCTACATCCATTTGGAGAGAACTGATCTACAAACTTAAGCCTCACTCACAAGCTCTGCTTCTGGAACTTGAGTTAATTATAATGCTATTTGGAAGTGAATTAACTATTCTCTTCATTCCCTGAAGACAAATTAATTTCGCCTCAGTTCCTCTCTGTGCTCAGATTAGCCGTTTCTTGGATTTTACTCCCTTGATACTTCCCACTAACAGGAGATTTCTGCTTTCTTCTTAAATTAAATTTATACAGTAGCTTACATTATTTTGCTCATTTAAGAAAAAAAATCCAAATTTCACATTTTAGACTACACTGCACAGTTGGTTGGGTTGTTCAGGCTTTTTCTGAATCATAAGAACCAAACATAAGTAGTTAACATTCTGTCCTGTTTAGCAGCAAAGTTTATGACCACAGTACCAAGTTTGCAATGCTTGCACAGTTCCCTGGAGCCTGATCTCTATGGAAACTGTCACAAGACTTCTGAAATACATCATCTAACTCATGGATAACGTTACACACAAGAGTTTGAGAGCTATACTCCACTCAGCATGAAGACCAATTCATTTGTGGATAGCACTTTGGTTATTTCTGAACCTTCATCCAATTAAGAACTTACTCCCTTATCTTTAACTTGCCTCGACAGTCACAGAAATTGCAAACTTTTGTAATTCAAAAATTTAAAAGTTACAATTTTTCCAGGACTGCCATCTGTGGGTTTCTGGTGTTAATTCTCTCAACTGTTTAGAATTTCTAAAGCTGGCAATTCTTATTATCAGAAAGGATTTAAAAAAAAGAAAAAGTTGAGAACTCTTGGCCTTATTTCTAAAAATGAACTTTCTGAACGTTCACTTCTCAGCTTAAGTATTACAAGGAGTAGTATCCCAAGGTGGTGAAGTCTGTGAAGGCCTACTAAAAACAATTAAGAAGCTGGAAGATTAGCTGCCTTTTCATTTTCCTCTCTTTTCACTTCTAAAATCCATGTTCCGGGATGGAGAGTGTTTTACATAAACATTAGCTAAAAATTTCAAGAAGTATACTTTTGTATCAGCACATTCCACTGTTATGAGTTAAAATATTACAATATATTTGCTTCTAACTCAGTGAATTTAAACAACCTTAATTTGTGTAAAGCAATTGATAATTTACATCTATTAGCCTTTATTTATTCTTTGTTTCTTGAACAGCCTCCATTGTGCTAAGCTGTGCGTTTTTCAGGAGTTGAGAATTATAATATCTGGCTAGAACTAAAAAAAAACCAGTCATCATCTCAAAAAGCACAAGACTGATTTGTACACAGTCAAAGCATCAGCTGTCTCTAGATCAGAAGTTACCTACTGCTGCTTTTTTAAATCTCTCTTGCATGTTACCAGTGCAGCTGAACAAAGGAAATGGACGCCGGCAGCTGAAGGATTAGAACTTATGTCTGGAATCTTTTCCTATGCCAAAATTTAACAGACACATAAGCCATTCTCCACTGCAAGCCAAGCAGTCTGTGCTTCTTTACGGTCTCTTGACTGTAAGGCACAGCTGACTTGTTACAGCTGACTGCTCTTCTACCTCTTCTTTTTTCTAACAGCATAAGATTTATTTTGAAGTCAAACCTAAAGCACTCTGTTTTGCAAAGGCTTAGCGTCAGTCTGCCGAAAAACCAGAAAGCAGAGACTAAAGCATTGCCTCCAGCAGAGGACGATATTCGAGAACGATACTTTCTCGTCACGTATTTCTCCATTAAAGCTACTGCTGCTTTCTCTGCTACAGTACCCAAGACTTCAGGTGTGCTGTAAACTGCTCCAGTCTATCTGGGGTTACCTCAGACTGTCTGCAATTTGTACCTGCACAAACTGAATGTGGTCATCATCACTGCCATACACCTCAGCCTGTCCATCTAGCAGATTTCCATCAAGTAGCTTGTGATCAGCTGAGTAGTACAGCGTTTGAACCTGCAAAAACAACAACAGAATACCCATGTGGCTGCTGTCTCCATTGCTACTTAGCTACAGGCAGATTACAAAAGGCAGTCGCCAGCATACTTCTCGTCATCTCATCTCAATCTAGCAGAATGACAAAACTAAAAGGAAGCAGATGTCATGGTGGCAATCTTCAAACATTGGATGAAGGTTCCTTACTTTCCCAGCTTGAGAGAAATCTTCATTTTCCAAGGACTTCTACTGTTTTTCCAGCACAGAAACATTAGACAAGCAAAAGGCACATTAATTTGCAGAATTACACAAATTCACAATCTCATGCAAGCATTTTCGTTATCCCCACAAACAAGTTTTCTGCTTTGAGAAATACATATATTTATCTCGATCAAAAGAAGTTAAGAGAAGCCAACAGTGGACTCTAAAGGAAAGGTATAGGAATGAGGGAAGACAGCACAAACTTAAGTTCTGGAGGAAACTGTTGTCCACCCACAACTAAACGTCAGATGCAACTGTTTCAGTGAAATGCATCTGAATTTCAACATGATCAAAGCTTTTAAAATTAGTTTTTCCAAGAGGAAATACACACTTGAGAATATATGACAGTATCAACATGTACTTTTGCCTATACAAGTGTTTCCAAAGATCTACTGTGCTTGTAATAACAAACTTGGAAAATTTTGATGTTTCATGGGTTTTTGAAAAGTCCATTTTCTCTAGCCAATTAAAAATTTAGACTACCCACTAATTTTTCCATTAAATACTGCCCAGGCTACATCTAGTATTATTATTCATGAGTAAAGCCATTTAATAACACACAACTTTCAAAATAATGTATCCTGTAAAGGAGTAAGTAAACACCATTAAATCATCATCATCGTTCTCTGCCCACAGCGGATTTTCTTAGGAGAACTGGGGCAGGACTGCTGCTTCTGTACGTGTCAATACACTTGAGGTTTCTTCTTGGTTCTTCAGCCTTGGTATCCTAGTTTTGTTAATAAACCTATGGGGAGATAAATCAACGGGGAGGAACAACCATTAGAAGCTTTTACCTACTTTATATTTACAAGCAAAACCTGCAAAGGAAAACATCAAGAATCTACGGCAAGTTTCAGTACCACCTCCCCAATTCTAAAGCAAGATACATGCCACTTTGAGGTTACTATACAGCACATAGTGAGCAAAAAAGGAAAGCGGAAGACCAGACTGAACAGTTCATTCAGCTCACCTGAACACCCCCCCAGTTTCTCAGCTTAGGGGTACCTACAGTAAAATTTAAATTCTTTAGGGTCACAGTTAAAAAAGTCAAAAAAATAAAAAAATAAAAGAAAAAGGGATCATCCTTCATATTGACTTTTTTTTTTTTTAGAAGATGTTTTATCCCATTTTCTTAAAGACTAACCTCTTCCATTAGATCTTCCAGTCTATCTCCATTCTCCCAGATGCTGCGCTGTACCCAGTTGATTACCTTTGTGTACAATTTGCCATTGCTGGGTAGGCCAACATTGTCTTCCAGCATTACTTCAAGCTTGAATTAGAAGAGGAAAGGATTATTTACTCTATAGGTAGTACCCTTGTATTTGTAGTATACTGTACTTTACATAGTAAGCATTACTCTTGCTTTACCGCAGAGCAAACACCATCTACGAGGAGCTTCCAGCCTATGCCACTGAAACTAGGAAGCATGTTTAAGTACAACTGCAGTTATCTTTTACACTTAGAAAGGATGATAGTATGTATTCTCTACAGTTAAGGTTCAGAGTAGTATGAATATTATACAGATCCAGAATTTTCACATTGTTGGTAAAAGTCAGTACACCAAGTTTTCCTACTCCCAAAAAGGAAGCCATAATAGTTGCTCCTTGGGTTGCTTTTTGGAAATCATGTACCAGAAGGAAGTCTACAAACTTAAACTAACCTTTAACCGTGGAAGTTTGAGAAATTCTTCCTGTTCTGAAATCTGTAAGAGATGTTCCTGAATGTAGCCATCGATCTTGTTCAACAAACGTAAGTCTCCCATACAACTTGCAAAGTTTCGGTAAGAGATGCAGCTCTGAACATCCATCTTGGAGAGCAAGTAGTCACCACAAACCTTTTAAGAAAAAAGGCTGCATCTTAGTTTACAAGTAGACAAGATTTTTATATGTTTAAATTATCCACCCCAACATACAGCAACAGCTGTTTTCTATCTGCAGAATAGTGACTGTCTGTTGTCATCCCCCCGGCCCTGTGCTAGAGCTGTAAATGAAATGTTGCCTTCCATAGGAATATGCATATATTAAAAAGAAAAAAAAAAAAGTCATACACATTTGAAAGCTACTCACATATACATTGACCCCATGCTTTTCTATTGAACATCTATTCAAAACTGCTTATCTGCAGTCAAGTGAAGATAAGAATCCCAATTCCCTTGTCAAAGGTATCACCATTTGTGGCAATAGTAAGTTCTAAAGTCAAGCTCTACCAAACTTATGTTCAGGAGTGTGCGGATTGTTCTTTTTTCACATATCACTGCCACAGATTTACAGGTTTAATTATGCCCCGCAACGCAACCAAACACACCACCGCTTCCACGAACCTGAAGGTAAGTAACCAGCTGTGATTGAGAAGCTGTTTTGCTCATATGAGAGCACAAATACAAAATTTAACTTCAGAGAACCCTTCAGCCCAAAGATAACACAAGTGGAAGCAATACATACTGACGTCACTCAAATCAATACAATGCTAATGAACATCTAAAGAAGCTTATCTGCTGAGCGCTTTTTCCACAGAATCATAAATTTTTGTCTCATTAACACCAAAAAGCATAATGCTGTCAGCCTGAGAAAGCAGAATGGACTTCTGGAAGAGCAGAGAACTGTACCTGCTTAACTCTCTCCATCTTCAACTTCTTTGCTGCAGAGTATACATCTTTCACCAGTTCTTTATCAGCTTTTAACCTATTACAGAAAGAAATTTATCTTCATTATTTTGATTTTTTAAATTAAAATCTACTCCCTCTAGTTTCTGTGAAAATTACTTACTGAGCAGTATAGGCATAATTCAACAGAACTTCAACAGCTTCTGGATTGAGATCTTCAAATTTAACATGGGAAATTCCATGAGAATCACTATCACTGTTGAAGATTTCAAACAGATAGGGACTGCAGCAAGCTAGCACAGCTCGGTGCGCCAACATCTCATGTCCACATACCTTTATTTAAAACACAAATAAGAAACCCACATGTTGGTAAGAATTTTTTTAAAGTACGTTTGTATTATAATAGTATAAAGACCTACCCAAGTGAATGTCACAGTTCAAATCAATTTTTCAAATCAATACAGTGTCCGATTTACGTCAGCTGAAAATAATGTTAGCATTGCTTCTCTCAAAGTATATCTGATTTATTTTTTTTTTTTAAGTATGCATTTTTCAGAAAAATCAGATTCTAAAAATCTCATGCCTCACGATCAATGAGGCATATAGCATTACACAGTGTAACAAAACCCCCGCTGCATTCAGCCATCATACTCGGACAGAAAAAAGTTACCTGGAGACGGACATCACAGAACTGACCACTTTTACGTAAGGCATTTAATTTGGCAACAGATGACTCGATGAAGTTTTCATCTTCAAACATCAAGTATCCATTAGGAATCATTTTGGTGTTGGTCTGGCTGAAAACAGAATATATAAAGTTTAGAGATACAACATTTTGCTTCAGTATAGAAGTACTATTAGCACATTGTTTGTAAACAAACATTTATGGGAAATTAAAAAAAAAAATCCATCTCAAAAAAAAGCCTAGAAGAGTACTACTGCTGATGAGTACATGTTGCCAACAATCCTTTGGATTGACTGGATTAATGATTTTCAGAGAGTAAGGCCAAAACTTTTAACTTATCCACATCACTTCAGTAGATATCAACTCCAAAACTACATGCTGAACCTGTGCTAGCTCTGTGGGAGCAAGTTGGAAACCACTGGATTACACAAGAAGCTTTATTCCCCTCTATAAAGATCGGATTTGGTAGATTCATCACTATTTTCTGCTCACTGCACAGTATCTGTCATACCGGTCAGCTTCATTTTTTGCACAGACCCAAAAACCAGCTACATTGAAAAATAAGAACTGAGAATTTAGAGTAACTAGCGAAGTGCAAGTATAGCTATAGAAATATTTTTTTGTTTAATTTTATGAGTAATGACTTAAGTAAATATTTTAGAGTAGCTGGAAGTCATGGAAGAACATTAGCACCAACAAAACAAACAGAATTAAATACATTCTGAACAACAACCATATATTTTAAGTCATCGCAAAGCTAAAACAACTTCCCCTGAAGATCTTGCCCATATACAAACATACCACCTCAGGTAAATTGGACCAAGATTGGAAAAATAACTTCAGGAAACTAACTTCTGAATTTGGAGGCTATTTTATATGTCATTTAATTGACTCTTTTTTTAGCTAAGCACTTTTAGGAAAAGTCCACTTTACAAATAGGAAGCTAATTAAGAATAGTAAAAATATGACCCTAAGGTGACCTACTGAATTTGAAATAATAATTAAAAAAAAAAAAAATCAAATTTGTAAGTTTGAGCTGCTAACATGAGTATGCTAGCAATATAAAAGTATACTTTCCTCAACAATTTTAGAGGAAAGAATATGTGGGATGCTACTAATGTTACCAGCAACAACTTATATTTCCATCTGAAATTTAAGAAAATTCTGAAGATCAGACTAAACAAGAAAACCCCCAAAACAGATAAGGTGGCTAGCAAAAAATCAGTAATAAAAATAGCAAGCCCCACACAAAAATATTCTAGTGGTAATCCATTTATTTTAAATTCACTTACTACTGAAATAATTTGACCCTAAACTGGCAACAATAATCTTAATTACAAAGATTATTATCCATTTGTATACACTTTCATTTGTTGTGTTTTATTAAAAAAAGGACAGCAAGGTTTTAAAGCTACAGAATTTCAGCAAAACTATTAACTATTGTATACGCAGCTAACAGTATCAACTTACCTAGCAAATATATTACTGTAAATTTTTAACTGGGAGATGTTAAAATAATCCAATGGTATCACTGTGTTAAAACAGAGCACTTCAGTTTCGGTATCTTCTGACAGGGAAGATGTTTGTTGAAATGCAAAAGCAGATGTGTCTTTGCAGCTGCAATATGGATTCCAAAACTATCAGGCTTGAAGATGATGTAATCAAGTCCTTAAGAGCTATAGACATGAATTTCTTCTGTGATAATCATGCATCATAATCTGCAATAAAGGAGAAGTTACCAAGTGAGCACAATAGATAGTACTACCATGTATTTCAGATAAAACTTTAATAGTGTCTTAAAGTAGAAGTTCCTGACCCAAACAAAGAAGTTTTTCTTCACAAAAAGAAAACAGCCTGAAAACTTACATATTGACACCAATATATTCTCATACCTAACGAGAGGTCAACCACATCAATTTTTATACCCACAGAGAGAAATGGCTAAATTAGTGCTTAGAGAAAAAGTTAGAACAGCTGAATCCCATTTTTAGACAATTCCTTACCAACTCTAACCTTCAGCACTTGCTATATCTAGATCATTATTGCTTGCTGACACAAGTAGATAACTCTTAAGTAACACAACAAAAATGACTAAATTTTAAAAAAAGAAACCCATCCACATGCCTCCTACCTTTTGCTTTTCCTGTACTCATCTACTTATATCCTTCTTCTACTGAATGCCTAAAATGGACTGAAGATGGATTAAGGACATGTCTGAAACGACTGGGCATGTCTCCAGTACTTCCAAAAAGAATTATAAGTCAGAAATCGCTATTTCGATGATAACTTTCTTTGATGAAGAGTCCCTTTGCTACCCTGCAAACAGAATCTGTTAAGTTCTGGTCAAGTTCTGCACTGGCAGTGCAGACTGGGGTAGCTTTGTTGGGATTCTGCATGCCGGTGGACTGTTTATGCTGGGCTTTTTTGGGGAGGGGAGAAGAGGAGGAGCAGCAGCAGGGAGGGAACAGGCAACAAACACCCTGGAACTTTCCATGACCCCGATGCCACCTCAGGAAGACATTGATCACTTAATCCACTTGAGTTCCCCACTGCAATTGCAAAACTGTATTTGTATCTACAGATTAAATGCCACACTGGGAATCAGGTTTCCAAAAAATAGGTGCAGCTCATTTCTCCTTGTCAAAAAATTAAAAGTCACCTACATTGTAGGCAAGAGAGCCTTGCAACCCTACTGCCTGGCCAGCGCTTACACACGGGATCATTTTGGCAGGAATTGTACTCTCTAAGCAGTCTCTAAATAGATCAGCAGCTCAAGTGCGAGGCTGATTCTCAAGAGCAGCAGGGGGCATTATCCTACAACATACCAGCTCCACAGGAAAACTGCTTCCACCCTTAACAGCTTCTTGCAACCCTGAAGACAGAGTATTTCAGCCAGCAGATAACTGGGTAGAAAGAATTAACATTAATTAAGTTTGGGGACATGGTTTAGTGGGCATGGTGGTGTTGGGTTGACGGTTGGACTCGATCTTAGAGGTCTTTTCCAACCTCAATGATTCTATGATTCTATGTAAAGAAGGAAACAACTGCTCCAGAGCAGCAGTGGTGTCTGTCTGTAATATAGTACCCCCTCACGCAGGGAAGACTACGGGAACAGTACCCTAAGGACTACAACTTTCTATAACATACTTTAATGTTGGCACACTTTGCTAGGAAAAAAACTCCATAGAGTAAATGCATGTTCTTTTTAAGATCCTACAGGCAAGGTATGAAACTGAAACCAAGCTCTATTTACCAAATATTGTTTAACTAAGCATTTGGAAGTCAACACTTCTTCTCTTGTTGATACAACTGGTATAACCTTTTCAGTTTCTAAAGTAATCAAAACTTTTCACTTCTCAAAAACAGAAGCAAACGGTCTGATGTCCACACTTTCTCCAAAGATTCACCTCAGCTGTAACATTCTGTTGTTCGAAGATGCAGAGGTATTATTTCAACACAAGTGTTATAATGAATTAGCTCAGAAAGAAGTTACAAGAGAACTATCAGCAAGAGACCTCTGACTTTATCATTTCAGATTTTAAACCTTCCATTTCCTTTATAGGAATCATCCAGACATGGCCAGACTCACCTAGCCAAATGCAAGCTATAGCAGGCATCTAAAAAGGAAAGCCAAGGGAGACAAGCTCTGAGTTCCAGGCAGGAGTTGCACTGGGTGGTCGGTACAGCATCAGACCATTTTGGTGAAAAGGCTTGGACCAACCCAGTCGCCACTTGCTTGATTCTGAGCAGAAAGTGCCACATCGCACATCAGATTATCCACCTTGCTCACACTGGCTTTAAACCAGCTTTTTCTCGACTGCCAGATCTCTCAAAGTTCTCCTCTTGTTAACTGAGTAGAGGTCCATAATACCAAAGCAAATTAAATGTATATTGCTACCACAGTTCAGACAAACAGGCTACTAGTCTGCTCGTGCATCACATTATGCATTCTCCTGTTCAATATTCATTGGGATTGCTGTTAATTACCAGTACTGAGGCTTTGTGGAGATTTCAAGTTACACAACAACTATTCAAACAATTTCAACTAAATTCCAGAATCACCCTCCTTCAGTTTACGTCTCTGGGCATGCTTTGTCACATTCTGCTGTAACAGAAGAACTTTATTTCAAGTACAGTGTTTTAACTTTGCCTGATGTACTTGCTTATGACCTTCAAGACCTATAAAGGACATCCAAAATAATTCTGGATTGAAGTGGAAGATTTGTCTTTTAAAGTCCTACTTTGCACACAAGGTCAGAACCACACATTTTGCATTTATGCACCTAATAGTATTGTCCAATCTGAATATCTAGGAATTTGAACATCTTAATTATTGCCACAAAGTTTCAATACTGTTGTGTGTAAACCATAGCTAATATTACTAGTCAAAATGGCATTAAATAGCACAAGCGTATGCATTACTTTCTGCGTTCTTTTTGATTTGGTACACTACTGCTAGAACAAAAGCCAAACAATCAGCCAAAATTCAATGAAAAGCCAAGAATGCTGCATTTTCTGCCTTAAAGGTTATAAACAGGTACTGCGAACAAATTCCTTTCTTAAATTATTTTAAGCATCTAAATAACTTTGTCATTACCTCCCCCCCGCCCCTTGCCTATACTCCCCTCTAGCTCACCACATCAAGAACTGTCAGCGGCTTTTTTTATAATTTTCCAGGACTTTGAATTTTTTTAAACCAAGTGTGATGTTCACAGATCACTGTCAACTAGGTAAAGTATGAAGTCTGATGCCTCTGAAATGATTACGTTTCAAGTGCCATCAAAATGCAATTATTTAAACATGTTAAAGCTACAGAATTAGCATTCCAGAATGGGAACAACACATTCCATTTGAGAAAATTCTTACCTGAGAGCAGGCCTATTTCCTGCACTTATTTTTAAAACGGAGCAAAAAATAAGTGATATATAAACTCTGGATTTCCATTCTAGTTTTAATATTAAAGATTGATACTGGTGTTGAGCCTGGAGGCACCACCTTCAATCAAGAGTTGATCGTGCTAGGTGTAATACTGCAGAGGACTGAGACAGGCGAGAAGCCATGAAGCAGTGACATGGTGCATTTCGATGGTATGGCTGTACCCAAGTAGAGGAATGCCAGTACTCAAACGTCTGCCCAGTTGCTCGATTTAAACATAGTTGTGTTCTAATAATTGTGTTTCCTAAACACTTACTGTTATACACAGACTGAGAATTTCATTTGCTACATATATGTACCACTGGACCATATAAGATTCACAGCTCGTAATACACTCTAAGATAAATTCGCGGCACATAACTGACTTCCAGAAGAGAAGTTTCCCCCTTTTAAACTCCTCTTTCCATTTCACTGTATATACGTTTAGAGGTGCATTTAAGATGACTCACCTAAATAACAAGGATACTAAGTCTTCTCATCCTTCATTATGCTATCCTCTTACATGTATCTTGCCAATGCAAATACTACTGAAATATGATTAGCTCAGTTACAAGATACATTTACAAATAAATGTCATAATTAATACACTTTCAATTGTTAATTGTGTTTAGAATTTAGGATCTGTTCATCCCAATTTTTTTTTAAACAGCTGTTCACTGCAGAAAACATTCCAACATTAAAAAAAAAAAATGCTGCATGATGATTACTGTTGAATTTCTCTGAGATCTAAAAACTGTTATCGTGCCCTAGGATTCTCCACTGCAGAGCCACTTTCAGCAGAGGTATGAGCTGTGGTCTCAGGTGAGGTACCAAGAAGACAGGTCCCAGAGCTGCATACTGAGGCAAAAGTCACCTTGTCTATGACCTAACAACACAGGTAGTATTTATTTTCCATCCCATCTGAGAGTTCTCATCTTTAATATAGTCCATTGGTACTTTAATTTCATTTAAAAAGTAAACAAAGCCCTTGCTTTGTCTCAATTTTGCACAAACTTTTTTGTCAGATTAAGGTACTACCTCTTCAACTCACAAGTCAAAAACACTAACTTGCGGGAGATACTTTTTAATCTTTTGATTAAAAGTCGATACTTGTTGATATAATGACGGACACTTGATTGAGACTTGTTGATCCAGTGAAACAAAAATGGAATTTAACACCACAGTTGGTGCTTTTTAGTTGCTGTAGGCTTTCTGGCTTTTCACAGCCCAGTTCAAAAGAAATGTAGGTCACAGCTACAACTACTCGTAGTCCGTTACCTGTATCAGAAGGTAAAACCAGCCGTCCTCAAAAATTTTCTTGCATATATTAGCATTTATTTATGGTAAAAAACACACGATCTTTTAACATCTGAGTTTACATTTGGGCAAAACATCATGGACTAAGACATATATCAACATACTTTACACCACTAAACAGGCTCAACTTCTTTACACCAGTGATTTAAAATAAGACTTATAGAATTTATACCAATTTTGTTTTGCATATTCACTTCTCAGTTGTTTTCCACTAAAGACTTAGTCTCATTGATAACTAAGACTCGTAAACAAAATTGTTCTATTTCATTGCAAATCAACCTCAGTTGTGCTCCCACCCCAACAGTGAGGAGAGAGGGAGAGAGTATTTGCTATCCCTGGTTAAGAATTGAAGGGGAAGGAAAAAGTACTATGGACATTTTCCAAAATCTTTTACATGCAGTCCAAGAAGATGTAATACTTGGACTGTCCTCTATAAAGAGCAAGCCTAGAGCCCCCTTTCAAACACATATTTATGTATGTAGACTAAAAAATTTATGAGAAGCAGGTTTTATGCTTGAGTGTTACTGCTTTTTCAACTACAACTCTCAGCTGTAACACACCAGCTGCCCATTTAGTACTCGCTTCCAATAGTATCCCCCCATGCTTTTGATATACTGTTTCACTGAGTCTTAGCACTGGTCATTACATGCCCTTTCCATACTGGTTATGCATTTCCTCTTGTCCTTTTCCATGTCATACTTTTTTTGTTGTTGTCATAGTCTTTATCTACACCTCTTTTTCTACCTTCTGCCTCACATGCACTCTCTTAAAATCTGAGCTCTCTCCTTCCCCCTGCCCTCCCATAGGGGTTTCTTTTTTCTACTAACATGCACTTCCCACAGTTCTTCAAACATTTGTCATACAACCAGCAAACTGGGGGGTTTTTTTGTTTGTGTGTCGTCATTGTCTCCCACCCCCCATTCTGGGCAGTTTTTGCCTTTCTTACCATCTCCTGCTCCTTAAGAACTCAAGCTGAGGAAAACAAAATTAGACCTATTTACAGCAGCTAAAGTACCATTTCCTAACTGGAAAGTATTCCCTGACTGTTGCATCCTGTGCTCCAGGAGTTAGGCTTGTGGCTACAAAATCCGCTTTCTAAAATTAAACCAATCTCACCATCAAAGCACCACATCCTGCT